CCATGTGTGCCAATGCCACGTCGATTTCTGCAATTGCACAATTTCTGGTCATTTGAAGGCGAGGGATGATGATGGACTTCATATTCAGGGATGACACGTTTCAACGGGTCAAGTCCGGGCGTTAAATCGTTTCTGTGGGAATTTCAACTCAATCAACCCGAGCGTTATCGTATGTTGAGCTCTGTCTGGGTTTTCCCTTTCAGCAGCTTACATCGCCTTGGTCAAACGCAGGTTAGCTTGCAACAAAGTGAGCCTCCTTGAAAGGCGTGAGTGCTGGCTTGGGCGAATTTTTGGACCGAAACACCCTTGAGGACCTTGTTTTTGATTTTTGAACGCCGACAGATATATTTGGGGATGTTCAACTCACAGGCAGGATTACCACACTCACTTTGTCGTGGAACTGTTTTTACAAATAGAGCTACATGGATTCCATCCCGATACCTCCGTTATTTGATAGTGATGCATTCAAGGTTGAACAACTGCTCACCAACCACGTGCTCACGGCAGATCCTCGAACGCTGCTCGCACTAACACTAGTCGCTTTTGCCAGTGCAATTCAAGTGGTAAGTGAAAACATGTTGTCAACTACATAGCAAAAAAAAACATTCAACCTATGTGTTAACCACTGTAAGGTCCAAAAGTACCCTGAATCGATTTCTCCTAGCCCTCAATATGTTCTTAGGTCTTATGGTTTGCGTTTACACTTCTAATTCGCAATGATTTTCAGGTTATATTCGCGATTATTTGTGTATTTTACGACGGATGTCCATATTACGTCGGAATTATTATAGGAATTCTCTTACTGCTTAATGCTACAGTAATATTTATTTTTTGCAAATGTCGGCCGACAAGAGGATGGCTAGTGAGTGATATACGGTACTTTTCATTGCACATCCTTAATTTTTCGAATATAAACAACAGAGATACCCATTGGTTATTCCGTTTTTGTACCAATTCTATAGACAGCGTATAATTGTGAGGTCTCTAAAGATGGTGGATACATTGACCTGAAAGATCAGCGCGGGGCGATCAGGGCGTCATCATCAGCGCAATTTGCTAGAAGGGCGACAGGCAGCGACCTGCGATAAGCTGACGTTAGCGTTTACCATCGTGTTCGTACCTTTTTTAGGGGTTAGGGGATACGTGTCTTTGCCCTCCTGGGGTCAAATCGCCACAGTTGCACGATCACTGAAGCTTAAGGTCAAGTTTTAGTTTAGCTTAAAGGAATCTTCCGCGGAAAAAGCTCCGCCTCCATTACCACAGAAAAACGATACCCCTTAGGCCCCTAGCCTCATGAGCATAGCAAAAAGAACGGAACATAAGCGTTAGTTTCGATAATACTAATCCTACACACAAGACAAAATGATCACTCTTTCCGTGGAAGATTCCTTTAAGGTATCGTTTTCTGTGGTAATGAGGGCGGAGCTTTTTCCGTGGAAGATTCCTTTAAGGCTTACGCTTACACATTGGCTTATGCCTAAGCCTATGATTGGGCCTAGGCTTAGTCCCAAGCTTGCTCCGAGCGAATGAACGGCGTCTCGAGAAGAAACGCTACGCACCCGTGGTGAAGTCGCAAATTCCTGAAAACTAGGGAAACAGCAAGTCCTCTAATTTGGCCTAATTCATGTATGTTTCGTGAAGTCCTCCTTAAATTTTCAAAAAAAAAACGCTCTAGCCCGTTCACGACGCCTTCAACATTCGCGAATCTGATGCCCGTTTGCAATTGTAGAAGCGATAGTTAACCTTGGTCAACTCCAAATACGACCCTCCCGAAAAACCCCAAATATGCCACCTGCAGGGTAAACCCCAAATGTGCCACCTGCAAGAGAAATGTGCTCAAAAACCACCGACTCGTTAATGACAACTGGTGCTAGCGCTAGCGACCGGCGTTATCCGAGAGTAAAGATCTCCATTCAAAGAGGATGTATCTCCGTGACAAATAGTCATTAAAGGCAAAGTTCGGGCTCAGACCCACCTAAGAAGCCCTTACCATGGCTAGAAGTGCTGGGTACGCAAGTGCAAAGGTAGCGCCACCTTTCTACATCGAAACGCGTCACTAGGACCCTAGGCGCCATGGACTTCTAACAGACTCCACCAAACTTAACATGGTCCGCCCACCGTTCGATATCTTGTCTGCGTCGCACGTTGATCTGCTATGCTCTCTCTTCTCGGACTTCTCTACCACTCTCCGCGCTCACATTCCCTGCCTGTCTTTTGAACTTCTCCACAGCATAGAGCAAAATGCTCGTATTTCCTGTGTATTTCAGGATTTTCTTCCTTTTTTTTCCATTGGCGGTCCACCTCTCATCCCTACTTTCACATTTGAGTGGAATCAACCCATCAATTTAATCCTGATTCTTGCCTTCAACTCATAATTTCGTAACATTTCCACGTTCTGCCGTCAAGCTGGTCCTATAATAGAGTCGCCTGTGGCAGGAAAACTCTATTGTACACACAGCCAGCTCTTACGCATATCCACAGTGCACGCCAGAATCGCAACCAAACGAATACACAGTTTCTAATGGAGATAAGTTGCGGAGTCCAAAAAGGATCGATCAATGCCAAAATGCATAACCCCTTGTAATATCAAGTCCCATGTAGAAGAAAAAGATTTAATGCTAAAACCTTATTAACTCAATTAGGTCTGAAAAAAGTTGAACTCCCACGGTTTCAGGTAGCTAGCTGCGTGGCCGCCTCCTTATCATTCGTGCAAAGTGTGTCGTTGTTCTTCTGGACGGCGTACCTCGTCAACAACGAGGATAAGTATCTCGAGCGAATCGGAGCGAATGAGAATCGGATCGTGACAAGCACACGAATCGCCATGTACTCATTACAAATGATATTCTCCCCAATTCATGGTAAGTGATCCGTATTTGTTCAAACCTGAGCGAACTCCTTGGTAAGCTGAGTAGAGAGTTATAATTCTCAAAAAGGAGTCTATGGGTTAATTTGATCTACCAAAGTGAAAGAGTCGAGAAATTATGAAATACGGATAATGCAGTTAATAGAATACCGAATAACAGGTATTTTTGAGTTCCAGTAAAGCGAAATGAAATTTGATTCAATCTTTTTTCCGCGCTCCGCTTCAATGGACAGAACTTTTCCCATATTATCTAAGCTTAGCTGATTCCCCCACCCCTCCTCTCCTAGCTACATGGTGACCATCAATCTGAACCCGACCTCAGCCAATTTGTTGATAGGCGTGACTCCTATGAAGTTCAAAGGGCGGTGCTTTCCGAATGTGATCCATGAAGCCATCCTACTGGTACTTCGACGTCCGTCTTGCCCACCCGGAGTTTCGCCTCATGTAGCTGTCAATTTATAACACATTCACTAAGAGTACTTGTGGTAGTATTTTGGCATACCCTCGCCGATCCCAAGTTCGCGGTCGCACTGGTTTTCGTCCCGGATAATGGGAAGCTCATGAGCCGACTCCATAGAAATGTTTTCTCAGTTCCTTCCCTGCACTACCGTAACCAAATTTCAACTCGCAACCAGTGCCTCGTAAGTTATGAGTATCGTTTAGGGCGGAAGTGGTGTAGTGGCAAGTGGCACGCTTACCACGCGAGCGGTCCGGGGATCAAATCCTGGGTCGTGAGTCGCCCGGGCCAACCAAGCCTTCCATCCCTCCGGGGTCGGTTAATTGGTACCAGACTTGTCTGGGAGGATAAAAACACTGACTTGTACATCATGTTGGTCTTCTTGAAACCTGGGCATCTTGACATTGTGTGTATTCT